TCGTATGAAACAAAGATAACTGTCATCACTGCTGGTGACACACTAAGACATTCATACATAGGACGAGACGCGTGTGTGGTTGTGTGCGTGCAGCATCATTAGCATAGGGAACAACAGCTGCTTTCACTGGCGAAGTGTTTGAAGTTGAAGTCAAACACTGGACAATCAATCTGAAACAATACAACTACAGAGTGACAGGAACCAGTTTAACCAGTTTGACTTTATTCTTCTTTACACTTACAAGTTAAGATTACAAGTTGCGAGTTCAGCATCCCAGTGTCGCCATTTCTTTTACTGGATTACTTCTGTTAATTTCACAATATGATAATGAGGTTCACTGTGGAGACGTATCAGAACATTTTCAGTGAATAAACGGAACATTTTTAGGTTGTAAATGAATTATTCATATTTGGAAGCAAGAAACTAAAGGAAATCCTTATATATGTCAGTCATTTTTAGTTATTCTGTGTTTAAAGGATAAATTAATAGTTTTATTTTCCCATAAATACTTGGGGCACACCACAGAACCTGCCGTCTAACACACTACAGCATTAGAGCATTTAACTAAACAAATTATGACTCAAGTATCAAATATAAAGTTTTGTAAAGTCTGTAGAAACCACGACCTTTAACGTGCAGAACGTTGCTCTGAGATGAAGAGCAACAACACCGAGGCGGATCCTGGGGTCATGTTGTCTCAGACTGTCAGAATAATGTGGACTATAGAGAGAAAAACGGATCCACAGTGACGTGTTTCTGTCGGTTTCTCCACACCTGATACCTGTCCACACATTATGAGCACTGTCATGGTTTACATTTGTGAACACTGACACCCTGTGGAGAACATGGGAACTGCAGGAACAGGCTGAATGCAGAAGTAGATATACTCAGATTCTTTAGTCAAGTAAAAGTACTCCATTACAAATAATGGTATTAAAATCTTGCTTCAGTGTTTTTTAATGCTAAACAGGGGACTTAAAGTGTTGCCTTACATAAACAATGTTTAATGCACAGCTATGATGGAAAACAGAATATAAAGCAGATGGGATCATGTGTAATTGTGTGATATGTCCTCAGGTTTGGTAGAGCTGCCTGGTCGTCACCACAGAGCTGTTGTACCTCGAGGAAAACAAAGAGCACGAAAATATAATGCAATATTAAAAACGTTAGATGAAAACTTACAAATATAGCTTTTCCTGATTCCTGACTTGCCTTTTTTCTGATACAACCTGAATGCAGCATCAGTCTCTGAGATGTTTTACCTGGAGAAGTGGGAAGAGCGATGAGCCGTCAGTCCCATCTGGCTGACAGGTGGAGAGGAGGGAGAGGGGGAGGCCTGACTGTGGCAGAGACGCTTCCGATTACAGAAGCACAACGACTCCTCCAGAGGAACCACAGGGATCCCTGCCAGAGCTGCATTCTGACACACACACACCTGGTGAGTCTGAGTGAACAGGTTACAGGTGTTTGTTTCCTTCTCTGGTACCCACCTTCATCAAGAGCCTTTGGTTCTTCATGTCCTGCTTCCATGGCATCACATACAGTCTGGGGATCATGGGATGTCGGGCTGAGAACGCTGGGATGTGACAGCAGGATCGCCTCGGAGGGAATGTGAAAAGATAGATGACTTTCAGATTTGGAGCTGGTTCCAGATTTGTAAAATACCCAGAGTGACTAAGTTCAGAGCCCAGCAAATATCATGTCACAGTTTTTGAATCTCTACTCTTTTTTTACTCAAATAAATTCAGGTTTCATTGCTGCAGTTTTCTCATTCACTTTTATTAAAGGCACATTAACTAAGATTTGACACATTTTGCACAGATAATCTCAACCAACAGATAGCAACACTAACCCAGAGCTGGTTAAGTTAATAGTTAATAGTTCAGAGTTGAATAATAATAAGTAAATGACTCACAAACGTTGCTGAGAGCTCCCTGCAGTGTCAGCCATGTTTGTTGACTGTCAGAGTTGCTATAGAACCCCCCCCTCCCCCCCATCCATCACACCAGTGCATCATGGGTCTTGGGTTGGGTTACAGGAGGAGACTTTGGGAACTTTAAACTGACTCACTGAGGTCGACTTTAGCTTCAGTGTGGTTGGCTTAATGTGTCTGAGGTGACTGAACAGTCTGTGATGGAAAAGTCATCTAAAATGTCTGAGACTCTCCAGTGAGTTAGCTGTAACGCATTTCTTAAAAGGTAGTTTCATTTTTACTACATGACGTTTCTGTCACAACCTTATGTGTCTGTACTCTGAAAGTGAAGCACATACTGTACGTTGTTAAAGACCAGCGAGGTGAGGGCAGGCATGCGGGAGCATGCCAGCATCACCGACCAAAGACTTCTGTTCCCAAAACTTTTAGCTGATAAAACATTTAAAGGTGGAAAGTAACTAATTACATTTACTCAAGTACTGAACTCAAGTATAATTCTGAGGTACGGTATCTGTACTGTTTGTAGTGGATTTCTGTTTTATTGTACACTGCTGGATCTGAGTACGAATTTTATCCTCAATGTGTCAACATGCAGAAGGACAAGAGAGATGAACCTTGAACCATAAACCTTGAGTATTTCCATGTCCCGCTACTTCATCCTGTGACTCCATGTCAGAGACAAACCGTGTACTTTTTACTACACTACATGTACCTGATAACTTCAGTTCCTTTCCAGAATCAGATTAATCAAACCAAACCCAGTAGAACCATCAGACTCTATTGATCCCAGTGGGAAATCCACCAGCTACCCAGCAGGATGGAAAGTACTTTACAGTATAAGTATATAAGGTAGTTACCATCAGCTCCACCTTTACCAGCTGCAGCATTAAAGTGATGGACACAGTAATTAGTCACTATGATCCAGTATCAGAGACATTACTGGGACACGGGACGTTCTGCAGGACCAGTACTGGTACTGATGGTACTTTATTTTGATGCTAATACTTTTGTATATTTATTGAAATAGCATTTTGAATGCAGGGCTTTTACTTGTACCAGAGAATTTCTACAGTGAAGTACTGTTACTTTTACTTTAGTAGAGACACCGAGTACTTCTTCCACCACCGAAAAAGTTAGATAAGACGATCGCTGAATTCACGTCATAGCATGGAACAGGTGGGATAGATTCACGTGCTCACTGGGCGACCTTTGGATGTAAATATAGATGTTTATTTTTGAGTAATTTGCTTTTCATATTTTTACCCAACACATCAGAAATATTAGAGATTTCAGTCCCAGTCAAGTTTCCCAGTTATCACTGAGACTTTAGTATTTATAGTATTCAAGTCAGAACCTGGTAAGTACAGCAACTCCACTGGGAGCTGAATCCCACATAAATAACTATTAAACTACAGTAAGCCGATTTAACTCATCTATGATATAGGAAGAAAAAATAAAAAGAAACATTACAGCAAAAATAAAACTTTATTTCAAAATACAACTTTATTCCCCAACAGAGGGAATGCACACATCACTAAATGTGTGTACAGACATTGTGTGTCTGTTTTATATTTACACAACCACAGTGATCCTTGTCTCTGTAACAGTCTGCTGTATAAACTGGAAGATGAGGCAGAATTATCAGTAAACACACGGTTACAGCTATATGTCAGTTTTCAGTCGTTGCATGAATACAAACAGTTTATTTAGGCAAGTGAAAAGTTCTGTGTGTGAGCAGTAACAGTGTGAAAGGCTCTATGTGAGATCTGATGATCATCTACTTTGATACCACCCGGTGACTGTGTTAAGAATGACACTGGCCCATCAACCCTTATTCTACAAACTGGGTGAGCAGAGAAAAACAAAGACAGTGAACAAAACTGTTTTAGTTCAGTGTCTCCAGAAAAGCAAAGAGCACATCACTGTCCATCAGTGGAAATCTGCCAGTAACCAAATCTCCAAGATTTCCTAATTAGGTGCTAATTAGTAAAGTTGATGTCTTAAAGTGCAGCATTGATTTTTCACAATAAGAATTTAAATTTAGATATATACACACATTTCCCAAAGTTTTCTTCCAGATTTGCATACAGTTAATGCTTTTTATGTTTGCCCTTGTTCTGGGGACGAGCTCAGGAGGTGACAGTAATAAAAGCAAGCTGCAGATATTTTCTGACTGAGGAGAGGTGAAGTCACATCACAGTATGGACAACACAGAGTCTCACAGAACTGAGGCTATAACGCACAACCAAACAGCATATCAAAAGATTAATCACGATGATAAAACATAAAGGATGACAACCCTCACAGTGATGCTGTAGGTTTGACGTGCTCAACAGCAGTTTGTGTTAAACTTTGTGCCAGTGTAGGGTTAGGGTTACCCTAATTCCACCTAAATGTGAAAATCAATATCAGCCCCAATACAAGAACATACTTCTGCTGAAAACATCAGTGGAACCATCTTGTTAGGGCCCCCTAAAGTCAGATATCTCCTACATTACATTACAGGTTAATGCTCCTGGTTCTTCTAGTTTACATCTGAACTGACAGTAAATACACCTGTAGGGCAGTTCAAGGTAAACATGAGGAAACCAGGGCTGGGGGCTGAAGAGTAGCTACAAAACCAGATCCAATGAGCTGCTGTGGGCTGAAGGTCAGAGCTGGTTTCAGTCTTGACAGACGTGTGTTTGCAGCCAAAAACATCAGTGTATTGGCCAAACTGGACAAAGGTCAGAGATAAATCCAGCACTCAGGACCTTGATCTCTGCACATGTATGTTACTGTAAACAGAAGGTCCAACTAAGAAAAGCTGAGGCCAGAAAACTTTCAACATGTTCAAGGTAAATACAACAGTAGCTGAGAAGGTCGACTTCGTTCCACATAGAGAAGAATGTGAAGTGGTCCTGCTGGGTCGACACAGGTGACCTGAGCTGCTGTCAGCAGGTGTATGGTTTTGTTTGTGTGTATCTCCAGTGAGTCCAGTACACCTCAGTATTGTCAGGCTGTAACATCTGCTAAAATGACCTATGTATTTACAGAACTTTACACAGCGGTGTGTGGTGAGTTCAGGTAGCTTCATCCAGTAGCCGCTGCAGGTTCTTCTGCACCTGCAAGAACAGACAGTGTTTTACTGAACTGTAAACTGTACAACACAACACGCACATGCACATAATAATAATGTAAGTAATATCGTGTGTTTATTAGCCCCTACTAGCCTGTAGCTAGCCCACTGATCTTCTACCATTATTAAGATTTCATTCAGATATTTGGTAAGTAAATGTTTCCTGTGAGATGAGAAGATCAATACCAACCCCACACCTGCACACTGGTTATGGTGCTGGAGCTGGAAGCTGAGCAGCCCAGTCTCACATACTGGGACTAGAAGCAGGTGGAAACAGCTTGGCTCACAGTTCAGATGTGCACCTACAGTATCAGCACTTAAAGTTTGCTAATTGTTGTCTTTAGTTTGTTTCATGTGGACACAAATAAAAATATTACAACTTGTAGGTGCAGCATGTGCGCCTGCCCAGCATGTCTGTGCTGCGTGTCTAGCTTGTCAGGAAATAGCTCCAGCATGTTCCTCCACCTAAAACAATCATGTTTCTGATGGTGTACATATGAAAGAAAAGAGGCAAAGTGTTAGTGAGCTTTTAGTGGTGTCAGTGTGTTGTTGCTTCTTGTCTGGCTGGACAGAGTTTAAGCACCTTCTGACTCCAGCACCTGGAGTCCACCTGACTCTGGACACACAGACAGGTTGATCATAATCCTCCCATCTCACGCTGGAAAGACACTACGTGGATTTCTCTAAATGCTGAACTCCTCCTTTAAAGCCATGTTCATGATGACATAATACATAATGTTGTCTTTAGTTTAGTTATTTGATTTATTTAATTATGTTCTACTGCTTCTTTTTCTGATTAGGTAACATGCTCCATCTTCCTTGTTGTATTGGTCTCTGGCCACTCAGCATTATCTCCTGTTTAGGGCTCAATTAGCTATTTGGTTATGATGAAATGTTTTACTTAAGGTTCGTGAAGGTCAGATGTGTTGTTTTCCATAAATGTGCAGGCTGGGGTAGATAATTGCACATTTAGGGTCAATAAACTAATAAGAAATATTATATAATTTGACATAAATAAATATACAGTACCTGTTTCTGGTCATATCAGGATCCTGTTTTAAATGACCCACAGAGTAAAGTTTGTTTTGTTACGTTTTAGATTAAATTAATGCAATTTCCGCTAAACAAGGAAGTTTTATTTTGATAGGATAACAACATGTAAGAAAAGGCGGCAACTTGACAAAAACAGGTAAAGGTGGAAAATACACCGTGTATGCAGATTGAATGGGGAAAAGAGTGTATTTCACTATCAGCTCCAGTCAAGAGTGGCGACAAAGTAAACCTATGTGCTTCTAGATGTGTGTGAATTTGTATATACCGGAACTGCTAGTAATTTTAGCATATTAAGTTAGCCAATTGTCGGTGTTGCTAACATTAGCCATGTGCTACGACCAGAGCACGCAGTCGTAATTGCTGTTTCCTGTTTGTCCAGCTCTTATGACGTGGGTTTGATGAGCAAGAAAATAAAGTATCTGACCATCAGTGAAAACTTATATTTTTTGGACTGGTACGTACAGTCCGTGACAGTTTTTAAAGTTAACGCAGCTTTTTGCTCATCACGAGCTGACGTGATAAAGTTACACTGACCAATGAGAAGCGAGCTCTTCTTAGGGTGACGTTCACGCTCCTCTGTTCACTGATCAATGACTCTAAATGTTTGATTAACGGCGATTAGCGTCTGGTTACACTTTGCTCACTGGAAACGTGTCCTGCTGACCTGTTGTGGACACAGTGTGCGGTTTCACATGTTGATGACAAGATGCTAGGGAAGGAAAAATAGCCAGAACACAAGTATCTACATTTTCTCAAGTACTTGAGAACTGTACTGAGATGCTTCTGCTTTATATTCTCCCTCTACCTTTGATTAAATCTTCCTGAAAAAGAGAAAGTAAGTGACAAAGACAGTGGGCCTATGGTGGGCACCAACCCACACTTCTTTGGTTATAAACAGTGGAATGGATTTGGGCTAAGACTGTGATGAGGTCCAAAATCATGACTCATTAAATCATATTCACAGCCTGAAGAGTTTTTTTGTAAAATGGACAGAAGGTTTTTTTTTGGTTGAGGATGCTCCCACAGATCTCCACGTGTCCCCCCTGCCTGACAGCGGTGGATGTTTCAAAACCAAACAGCTCAGTTTTTTAAAAAACCACTCAAATTATTCAAACTGAGGGCTTTTCCTCTGGCTTAGACCTTTTGCAGGCTCAGACAGACAGACTGACCTTCTCCAGCTTCATCAGGTTGATGGTCAGCAGTTCCGACACCAGTTCCACGTTCATGTCAGCGCTCCGTCGCAGAAGGTTGCTCCTAGAAAATCACATGATGGAGGACATGAATTTATCCCTTGGACAAGATTCAGATCAATCCATAAACAGCCAGAATCAGTCAAATAATGAGCTAAATCATATAATCAAGTTATTTACAGCCACTAGGATTTATAAAGTAATACTGTCCTGTATGAGTCACTGTGGGCTACAAGAGAACCAAGACCTGGAAAACAACTAGATTTATTTTTGGCTGCAGTGTGAACAGAGCATTAATATATATGTGTACAATGTGTATGTATAGAGGGTTTTAATAACCTTTGTTTTGTTTTGTTGCTTTTTTGATGCTTGAACATCACATGTCTTGTATTAGAACCAAAAGGAAACCAGAACTTCTAGGTTTTGTTCCAGATGTTTATTTTAAAATCACCGATGTTTGTGATCTTACACTGGTTATATTGATGTTTTTCTAGTTCTTTCAAATCACTTTGTATGAGTTCTAGTTTAAGTTTAACATAATGTATAATAGTATAATCTTAATTTAAGCTTTTTTCAGTGTTTTACATGCTTGGGTGGTGAACTCACTCCTGCTGGGTGAACTCAGAGATGGGGCCGAGCGCCATCAGTTGCTGCTCCAACGAGATGATCTTAAACGCCAGGTAACAGGAAGACAAGACCAGGACACACACTCTGAGAGGACAGAAACACACAATCACGATGCCACGTGTTAGAGAAGTGAGCATCGTAGTTTGCATAGTTCAAGACACAAACACCAATGGAAGTAAATAAATCAATGAAGGAGCATGAGAAAGACATTATTAACATTATTAAAATTACCAAGTGAATTAGTGGATCAGTGAATGTGTACATTTAATTCATTTTGTTTGGTCAAATTGATCCCTCATGTCATGATGGGTCTAATTGACCCATTATAAAGTTAAAAAACTAAAAACACTAGTTAAAAGTATTTTATTGGTATGAAACCTCTTCTGCTTGGCTTAAATATGTGTAATCAACCCATAAAATAAAAATGGTTCATTTCACATATTTGCAACCTACCCCCACATGTTTATATTACAAAGATACTGTTCAGGTCAATTTGACCTGGAACAGAAGACGTGTCTCATGTTAATTTATCAACATCACTTCATAAAAAGAAAAGATTTCAAAATGTAAAATAAAATTTAAAAAACATCAGTGTCATGTAAAAATAATGTATTTTATATGTAGGACTTTCCAATGTACATTAAAAAAAGTTTTAACATGCATTTTTTTAAATGAAAAACGAGTGCATTATCCTCATTGAACCATAATCTGTGAGAGGTACAGAACACCACTGAACTAAATAGTGATTGAAATGGTTAGTAATGGTAAAATTAACCCAGGAACATCACTGCTGTTCCTGAGAAATGAACATAACAGGTGGGTTAATGGATATATAATGAATCAGACTTTAGTGAGCATGTAAGACTGAGTGCATCAATGCTAAAATAAATATATATGAAATATAGATGAGTGAATGAATGTGTTAATATACAAGAAACAAATAAATAAAAATACATTTGAGTGCACAAATGAATGGCTGAATGGTATTAAATGAGTAACCGACTGATCCAGTGAAGAGAAATTAACTTAATAACTAAGGAAAGAAAAAATTAAGGAACCTACAGTAATCATTTAAACCATTTAGGAATGAATGAATTAATGATGGTGCACTCACAGAAACAGGTAGATGAACAGCAGAGTGTTGAGAGACACAGGTTTCACAGTTCTGCTGTCAATCACCACATCTGAGCCCAGAAACAGAAAAGTTAAAGTGAAACTTTCATGTCTCTGAAGTTTGGCAGGATTTGTTCAGTGCAGTTTTTTTCCTATAGATTTTTAATACACAAAGTTTTGATGCTTTGCTTTTACATCAAATTTTTAAACATGTCAGAACTGAGAGAAAGCAACAGTTGTTCAAAATCTGTGTTTAATGGGCACTGGTGCCATGGTTAAGACTGGTCACATGACAGCTCTCCTGTTTAAATAAATAAAAGAAATATGTTCAGTGAATTAGCAAACTCCAGTTTTGTTCTTTGTGTATATTTATCTACAAACGTGTTGACTTCTTTAGTTTCTCATTGGCTGAAAATAGGTCACTGGCTGTACTGTATGTGTCGTGTTCATGGGCGGTGCTATGAATAACAAGATCATTATGATAAATGATAAGTAGAATGGTATAAGATGTTCTAACATTAAAAGAGTCCATCATGGAGGAAAATTGTTGGAGTTAAAATAATAATAATAATAATAAGTGCTGCCTGCAAACTCAGACTCTTGCCTGAACTGTAAGAAAGGAAACTTGGGTCAGTGCAGACTAGTATTGGATAAAAACATCATGACTTGACCCTCGGTGGTACAGGTTTGGTCAAAACCTCTGGGGTCTGTTCCACATAACCACACTGGCTGATACTACAGACAGAGAATTGTGCTACCGGCGTGGTGTGGGTGGTGCTGCTGCTTGTCCGAGCTCTGCTGGTTCTTGGCTGCATGCTGACAGTCTGGATGTGCAGGAGGTGCAGCGATGTCCGTGTGCTCCAACACATCCAGGAATGGAGGAACAGGGAACTCTGCAGTGTTGAGGAGAGGAGGGGAGGCAGCGTGAAGAAGACAACTTTCAACTAGAAAACCAGAGAGCAGCCTCACTTTGAGCAGCTGAAGTGTCATTGTCTCAGCTACAGTATGTAGTGAATGGGCCCTGCACGACACACCAGAGCTCCACTGCTCAACCCAGTCCACACTGGAGCCAGGTGTTACATTACTTCCACTACTGCTCAGGTGTAATGAAGAATCCTGAATACCAAGTGCTTAGTGAAATACAAAAGAGGAAGAGGAGCTTAATAGTCACAGAGCTTTGAAGTGGGACAACAGTGTGTTTCATCATGTACACACAGTCAGAGGAGGAAGTGCCAAGAGCCAGAACCAACACCAACAGGTGAGCCTGAGTAAAATAAATATAGCACACAGGAGGGAAATGAAAGCAAACATTCGAGCCCCAGTTTCTGCTGAGGGAAAGTTTTAGACGTTAAGCTTCATGGCAGGCGTTTAGTAAAAGCTGGAGACGAGTTTCATGAGTCATATTTGTGGATCCTCAGAAATCTAAGCTATGTGTAGTGTGTAACTGCAACGCTGCTGCTTATCGGTTTGTTGACTAGTACCTGCTATCTTCTCATAGTCGGGGGTCTGAGAGTCAGAGCTGCTGCTCTCCTCCATCTCCTGCCTCCTCTGTCTCACCGCTCCATCCAGGTCACTGAAGTCACCTGAAAACCTCTGCAGAAATCCACAGTCAGTATGTTAACTGCTGTAGCTGAGTGCCTGAACATTTAGTCCTTTTTCATGTTTGTCAGGAGGCGTTAACTGTCGCCTTCACTCACAGTGTTTCTTACACCCCCCCAATCCACAGGAGGAGTAACTGTGTTGGTCCAGTCCAGTTATAATACGCTGCCAGCGTAGGGAAACACACTGCCGATGCTACAGGCAGGAGAGATGATGATATAACTACAGCGGCTGTACAGAGCTGCACTCCTGCTGTTGTTAAGCCACACAGTGCTGACGTAACAGATGTGTTTCCAACGCACCACGATGCACTGATATAGTTGACAATGGTACAGAATACTACATTGTAATACAGCTCAGTCACTCGCTGTGCATCAGAGGGAACACACACAAATCCATTACATTATGGGGCCTGTCTGGGCAAAAGGTGGATGATGTTGACATCTCATGTTTGGAAAGCAAAGCTGAGCAGTGCAGAATAGCTGATGCTGAAGGTCAGAGATAAAGAGACACACAAAACAAACACTCGGATTCACTATTTCTGGGTGTAAACAACAAAGCAGCTCAACACATAACAGCATGGTGCATGTGAACTCGAACACCTCTGTTCCACCAGCTACTGTAATTCAGTGTGTTTCCTGAAAAGCCAAAACATGTTCCTGTGTTTTTTTGTCCACATTTCAAAAGACATTTCCCCAAAATCAGATCATTTTTACAGCTGATCTCAGGAAACTTTGATAAGCAGCTTTTCTTTTTAAAGGTCCCCACAGTGCCACGGTAATATAAGATACAGCTATTAATTAAAAGTATGTTTCTCTACCTTCCTTTTAACACCGTCAGACTCACTGAGAAGGACACTGTAAAGACACTTGTGGTGAGGTTAACTCATCAGTTCAGC